CATTTATGATGGGCACTTTGCTAGCATTACATAGAACCAGCTATACATTTTCAATATTTCAAGTTGAAGAAAACTGCCCCCTTCCTCCCATATGTACAGCTTTAGGCTCTTTCAAAGAGTAAACGTGTGTTATAATGTATAATATAATACACTTCATCACGAGTCTTGCATTACGTATCTGCCAAACAACAATTCAAAACTCCTTTGCTTTTTCCAAATCCCAGAGGAAAAAAAAAAGGGGGACTGCAGTGTTTCCAGAAGATTAGCCAATGCTAATGGTAAGGGTCTGATGACCAAAGCAAGTACATGACCTATTTTGTGGGACAATTCCAGGGAACGCTGTCAGAGGATCATAGAGAAATAGCGGCGGGCAGGATCTCCACAGGTCATCTAGTCCGACCCAGTGCTGAAGGCAGGATCATCCCTATCCAAACCGTCCCGTGCAAATCCATAATCTGACCTTTTAGTAAAAAACTGTCAACCCTGACACAACACAAGACATAAAACCCTAACCTGCCACAGGTAAAGCAGAGGGACCAGCCATGGCAGCCAATGTTCTGCTTCTGTAAAGCCTGTCAATATATACTCAAGACATCCCAAACAGAGGGCTAAACCCCCACTACAGAGGAAGGCAAAACCTCCCACAAAACCCCCACAGTCCATACTAATTGGACTACGGGGTAAAATTCCTTCCTGACCCCAAATATGGCAATTAGTCTGACCCTAAGCGGAGGGGCAAGGCCCTCTAGCCAGGGACCTCCAGCATTAAGTCCCAGCAGACCCCAGTCAAAATCCCCAGCTTTGGGATTAGGATTGGGATGTCACAAGCCATTGCCTGTTTATGCTGAACTCAGTCTACTTTGAGTATCAATTTATCAGGTTTCCAGACTTAAACAGCCTACAGCTTTATGGGTTAAAAAGCAACAGCTTAAGTGAACATGCAGTACAAGAAAAACTTTGGGCAGAAACCAATGTCAAGAACCCTAAATGACTACATGATGAAACGGATAAACAGTTCTCAAAGTGCTGAAAAAGGGATGTGACCCAGTAAAAATGGCTCTGTGCTTCCTGATAGTCTTTTTAAAATGTCTCTTCTCAGATGTCAAAGCAAAGGAGCCTAAAAGAATGGCTGCTATACAACATTTCTGTAATATGAGTTTCATGGAACCAGACTCTTCCCACAAATTATTCCCAAATTGAATAGTATCCTATAGTTGCCCTAACAGATTATTTATAGAGATTACTATCTACATTCAAAAGATGAAGAAGAGGAGCTCTGATGACACAGATGTCTAGACTCCCTAATGGGACCCTGTATATCACAGGTGTCAAACATATGGCCTGAGGACTGAGTACAGCCTCCACAGCCAAGTCACCCAGCCCACAGCCTTGATATGGGGGACTTTGCTGTGGCTGTAGCCAAGTACCTGGGAAAGAGTTGGGGTGCTAGAGCCTCAGCAAAACTACAGGAAGGTGCCCAGCACTGTAGCCTATTCCCATGGCAGCAGCCATGTGTCCAGGATGTCAGGCCTCTTCCCTTTGGGTCCTGGACTGGAAGTGCAGGGGAGGTCTGTGGGCCCAGTCTGGTCCATAGGGCTGGCCTTGTACCATTCTTCTGGCCCAGGGGGCCAGCTGAGTTTGATACCTCTGCTATATATCATCTCTATGATACCTAAGGAGGAACAGTGGCAGTTAAGGTTGTTCTCTTTCATGATCCGCAGCAGCAAAAGTTTGATGTAATAAGGAGATAATTTCAAAAGGAGGAGGAGGGTAAGGTACTAGTGATACCAACTCAGGGATGGAATACAAAATAGTCCTCTTTGGGCTTTGCAATGCTTTCCTGAAAAGAAGCTGCCTGCAACGTGAAGATATCCTCAAGGATAGACATGTTTGCCTCTTGTCACAGAATACAAACACTTGTTCTTGTGGTAAATTCCAAACATAAAGTTTCTCCTATACAATGTAGGAGAAACTTGAATTGCAGGCTCAGAGCTGTCTCTGAAGCATTATTGCTACCACAGCTGATGTAAAATGTTTAAAAGAAAAAAAAAAAAAAAGTTAAGTCTTAGCCTAGTGGAATATTTCACTGCCTATAAGAATAGGATCCTAACAGGTGGAAGCGCTCATAAATAGAGTAGAAATCTAAGTAAAACACAAAGTCATTGTAACAATCTGAAAGATGCCCTTGAAGCACAGGAAGACATTTGCATATCTCCTTGACATTCAGTACACTGCGTTACCCTGACACAGAGACAGCTGTATCTATGGCAGGTAAGAACTCAACCACAGACAAATGCAGTTAAACTTTCTGGGCCAGCATGCCTCTGAAGTGGAATAAAAAACCCCATAATCTGTTCAAGTGAACAGCACGTCCAATCTCAGAAAAGGACGTATCAATGCCAGATTCAATGTTACTTGCAAAGATCATGTCCATGCCCATTTATTTCTGCAAATGTTGTCATGTTGACCTGGCAACTATCTACACGGAGCATTGGACTCTGCAACCTCCCTGGAATAATTACTGCATCTATACCCACCAGTGTCAGACCCTATTCATTCAATCACCTGCACTATGCTACAAGCTTGATCATTTAAGATGCTGAGCATCCTCTGGGCCCCTGTGAATTAAATGAGAGTGGAGGGCACTCTGTTGAGTACTTGCTGTCTGGTGCTCTGCATGTTTCAGAATTTGGCCTTTTCTGCCTTTATTTGTAGATGCTCTTGCTCCATGCTGAAGGACTAGTCTTCTTTGGAAAAAAAATCCGTTCTCAATATCAAGAAAGAACAAGGGAATAAAACTACTAGGGTCTGAATTTCAGGGGTAATGTAAGTCTGAAGCCTTTCAATGCTTCTTATAAAACATGGCATAGGGCAGAAGAGGGAAGTTTTCAGGTACAAGACTCAAGAAGCTCTTCATTAAGCATATACATTTAATAGCTCGCACAATTTTATTGATATCTATGCTAATCAAACCCTGCCCTAGTATCTCTTCCACTCTTTCCCCAATAGAGGTAAAGCACTAATTAGAGTTTTTGTTCTGTTTTTAAGCTAATTGGTCATCCTTAGAATTGGTAAATTGGTAATAATGGAACATAAAACAAGCAAACAGGAGGCTAAAACATTCATCAGATACTAAACTTTTCCTGTCATCACGCTATCTAGAAAAGCAAAGAGGGGCAAGAAAACCAAACATGGGAGAGCTCAGTTATCTATTTTCAGGCAAATAAAAAAGCAATAAAATGCTGAACTGTAGAAAAACAGAATCAGCCTCTAAAACATTTCTCAAAACATCTGAGCACTTGCTTATGGGATTAATTATCCGGATGTAGAGAGATATGTAAATGTAATGTCTAAGCTCTGATTAGGCAGGTGCTGTGAAATTTAACCTCCCAGTTCTGTCAATACACATGCATGCACCTTCAGCCTTCCCACTTTATGCCTAACCTTGCTCTGCCCTTGATCAGACACTGCTTGGGCTGCTGAGCTGCAGCAGTGTAACAGAGAGGAGGGGGGTGACAAAAGCAGCAGCCCTGGGCGCTCCCTTTGGTGGAGAAGGGAAGGGGAGGCATGAAAACAGCAACTGCCATCACTACTACGTCAGCTGGCATTGCCCCATGAGCTGTGGCTGCCCAGGATGCAAAGCTGCCCCGCTATGCCTCCACTGAGTTGTGCTTGACAAAAGCACATGGTAGCTTTTGTGAAAAAGAAAAATATCTAGGAAGACCAACATGACCCCCTATTTATTTTTACTCAAGACTAAGATAATGGCTCAGGTCAATGTCCTGAGGGACAGAAGTCAAATACTGTGTCCATTTTCCCTTTCCTCTCAACAAGGCTTTTTTGAACTGCAAGCATTGTTTGATAAAGGAATTGATCCTTACAATATTCCAGAAAAAAAGGAAAAGAATACAATGCTCCTTCTCTGGCAATACCTCCAATAACTAACTGTTCTTTCCAAAATATATAGTTACGTTTTCTGAGCTACTTCTTTCAAAAAGTAGGTAATGTTTACTTGTGAAAAATCACCCAGATCTTCCTGTCAATGAAATGAAGGGTCAGCATTCAGGTATAACAAGGGCTCATTGCTCCCTTTTCAAGATGTTCTCATTACAGTCTAAAACAGCATTATCTGGGGGACATGCACGTGTGCTAGGAAAAAACTAAACTTATCATCCCTCATTTTGTTGTTTCCAGTTACAAACACATGCCATTCTTCCTGCCTGACGTAGCTGGTAAGTAAAGCTGTTGACTTACGCTGAGGTGGCTGAGAATCAAATGGCATCATCATTTTTGGCCTCATCCCCCTTCTTCCTGCCAGTGTGGACATGCTGTCCTCCGACTCATGTCCTAAAGGAAGAAAACTGAAGATTACTTACTAAAGAACCAAGTCCTTTTAAAGTTGCTCACAACTGGATGATTTTACTGCTGATAAATATCTATATTTAATTCAGGATGCAAGAACAGGACTCTCCTCTTTGGGAACTGCTCTGCAAGTCATGACTAACAAGCAATTGAGATTAACAGGCTAAGTAGTGTTCTTCCACTGCTCTCTACTGAAAAGCCAGGAGATGGGCAGTGTACAAACACTATGTTGTATTGGAACCAGAGAACTCACTTCAAGCTACAGAAATGCAGTAGTATGACCATTTTAGTCCTGTAAAGATGACTCTAAACAACCATGTTTTTGAACAAGGTCCTAATGAGATGTTTGTTATCAAATTCTGGGATTACTAACTTGTTATATTTTATTTACTTATCAGATTTGTATAGCACCTTTCCTAGGAAAGGCTCAGGGTAACTTACACTAAAGAGAATTAAATAACTTATAAAACAAGAAAACACAAAAGAGAACAAAATAACTTATAAAAGCAGACAGATTGAGTGTTAAAATAGAACAGAAAACCATTCTCCTTCCTTCCCCTCTCCCCAGTATGAAACAGTATCTCAGCTTAGCCTTGCTTGCTAAAAGCCTGCACAAACAGGAAGGTCTTAGAGTGCTTTTGGAAGATGCCCAGACTTGGGGTCTGGCAGGCCTCAAGGACAAGGTTGTTCCAGAGGGAAGGAGTAATTGCTGAGAATGACCTTCCACGCATTTTCGCCAGGAGAGGTTGGTGCATTGACAATACTTGTAGGAGGCTGCTCTTGGCTGATCTTAGGGATTATGATGGAGGAATAAGGGAGAAAGTGGTCACTGAAGTACGTATCAATACTGCAAATTAAAAACCAAATATCAACTCTTGTATTCTGATACATATATGAATCACTGAGGTATTTCCCCTACACACTAATGGATCAAGAGAGCCATGTAAAACTAGCACTGAACTCAACCTGCTTGTTAGGAAAATTAGAAAGGAATGACCTATTTTTAATAAAAAGTTTTACTATACTCTAAAAACAAAATTTTTTAGCTAAGTTAAAGGATTTTTTTTTTTGGCCAAATACAGCAGTGATACACAGCACCTAATTTTACACAGTTAAAATCCGGACTCCAGGTCAGCTCACTCACCCCGGTAAGAGTTCCGCCTTTGATGGATATTGCTATCCATGGAATTGTCAACTGGTGTGATGTCTTGAGAGTTACGAGGAATTGGGGTGTCTGTCATGATTGGGTTGGGGTCTGGAGATTTATCAATAGGTTTTAGCTCCAGTCTCTCATGATGGATCCAGAGGTCTGGGGGTTTGACATCCTTGGAGTTTCCTTTGTATTTATGAGACCCATTCACTGATTTGCAGGCAGCTCGTTTCCTTGCAAAAAGAAAATAAATGAAACATTCTTAACCATATTATTATTATTGTTATTTTTACCTGTATATGAAAATTAATTTCTTTTTTGATCATTTTCAGATGTACTATCCAGCTGTCTGCCAGCTATTGACTGGGCCAGACATGTGAATTCCACACTGCAAGGAATGGTACCATTGACTCCGTATGGATTTTTGTCTTAAAGTCTTCCACAGGCTGCCAAAACAAAGCTTCCATTAACAAAATAGTAAGTGTCCAACCCTTACAGCTGTGAAGACACTTGTCTAAATGTGAAGCATATGCAAACCATGCTGTGTTGTAGTTTGGAGCCTGCAAAAACAGCTTCAAATAATAGCTGCAAGAGGGCATGAAAATATCCAATTAACTCGACAGCACGTTGACTCTAAAGCCTAACAACGAGAATGTTAATTTTACTGAGGTCAGCAAGCGCATCCAGCTCATGTGCCTACAAAACACTGTTGATTAACAGAGGCAGTGAAAGTGGTGGACTGATGTCAAGGATTTTTAGAAATGGAAGACAAGGAGATCAAAACGCTGTCTCCATCTTGGAACTGGACAGAAAAGGAGGAAGGGTGTCTCTTCTGAATGCCTGCCAAATTTGCAAGAAAAGGTCCAATCTACATGTTATATTTATTGCATGATTAACCTTGTTAACTGTGCAATACAGAGTGGCTACAAGTGTAAATCAACTTTCCTGCCTTAAAAAGGATTGCTTGAAAATGCATAACAACTTTATAGCTGGTTTCTATCCAGCTTTAATTTGCATGTGTAGGCAGTCTATGGGGAGACTGCAGCTGCTGTGATCTCCCAGGTGCCACGGAGCACAATGCATCCCAGGGTTGGGAGATCACAGTCAATGTGGTCTCTCAATTGCAGGGGTGGGGGTGCTCCACATACTCTGCACCTGGGGGACCACAACAGTACCCCATGGCTAAAGGGCCTGAGAGTCCCAGTCCTGACAGAGCTCTTGGTCCTGGCTGCCCATGGGGTGCAGCTGGGACTGAAAATCTCTGCTCCTGACAGAGCTCTTGGTCCTGGTTGCATCACACATGCAAAGGGGGCTCCCAGCCATGACAGCCTGCTTCTTGCTCACGCAACAGGTATCCAGGATTAGGGTACCCCTACACTGGCAATAAGGCACAATTGGATCTGTGTGTGATTTTGTAGATCACATAAAATCCTATCGCACCTTTACCTGCACATGTAGAGGGGGCCAAAGATGAAGCCATGCCTACGGTAATTATACAAAGAAATTAGCAAACAGAGCCACACCAAGCAGTACATGAGTTGATGGAGAAGTTCCTCTTTTTATGGCCAAGGTACCCATGGGCAGATGTAGAATTTTGAAAAGGGGGATGCAGATGGTGAGGTACATTGTCACATATAAAAGAAAACATTATTTTCTGGTTAAAAACAGACTAGAAGCTTTACTAATATGGTAGGGGCCATGGGCTGTATTATTCAGTTTAAGATAGAAGCAAAACCAAATATAACTTCAATGGAATAAGTTAAAAACAATCTTCAAGGTTGCAAAATAGGAGCTTCATTACCAGGAACAGCTAACAGACAGCACAACTGCAGAACAAAGGATAGCTCCATTGGTGGAACATTAAAAAGAGAGGGTCGTTAATACCTCTGAAATGAAGAGTTTAGAAAGAATCAGGCAGATTATAATGAGCCAAGAAGTCAACTGGATTCTTCTTCACTGCCTGACTAGAAATGCTGCTCTCACTGCCAGGCAGTCAGTTTTAAACTTTTGGTGGGCCAGGAATCAGGTGCACCAATGCACCCTCTTAACCTGCCCCTGAAGGGAACCTGAAAAGTCAGGAGAAACTTCTCTGTGGGAAATGGAGCCAAATTTAAAGGTTGTAGGACCTCATCTCAGTGCCACACAGGGCTTCAGAATCACTGAAGTTGTTGCTGTTCTCAAGTTCTCCTCCTTTCCTGTGAAGAAAACCCTTGTAAAAATCAGCTGGAATTTGGAAAACCTTTTTTAATTTAGAATGCAGAATTGTGCAGTGAGCCATTTCATAAACCTGCTTCATCTTAGCTGTTGCAGATTCAAATTTCATATACTGTGGAGTTTTCCAAGTTGTTTACTGTTTAATCATGGCACGAGCACACTGGCTTAAACCTGTTTTTTGTTTTCAAAAGTTTTCTTCTATTGGTGAAGACAAAGAAATAATCACTCTAAATCAGTCAGTATCGAAGTGTGGAACCCCGATAGGAATGACCCGATACACTGATTCCACATGCAACAGCATTCAGTGATGCATTTATAGCTAAGAGTTGCAAAAGGATTTTCTTTTCAAGATTGTCAAGGAAGAGAGGGAAGATATTGATATCCAGGTAGTCAGGGAGACAGGAGGAGCAAACTAAAGGAGCTTTAAAAAAGGCTGTCTTTGGAGGGCAGGAAGTCATGTAAGGATAAGGGATATGTGTAAACTTCCCTCTGGCATCTCTAAACCAACAATGGTGGATGCCTGGGAGAGTACTGAATGGAGGACAGATCACTCCAGAGATATCTGGTTCAATATAGCATCCACCCCTGTCACTGTTGGAAACATGGCCACAGTGGTCTGACTCAGTATGGCACTTCATATGTGCTTAAGTTGCTGGAGTGAGAAAGCAGCCTGGATACAGCATGCTGGAAACATCAATGGTTTGGGAAAGTACAGTAAAAAAATTGGCAATGGGTAAAGTCAACATGATTTCAGTATGAATAAGGACCTCAAGAGACTTATAAAGAGACAGCTTTTAACAATATCTGCTCAGACACTTTATAATTTGCTGAGGTGCTCAGATACCAAAGTGACAGCTGCTTTATATGAACCCAGATAAAGAATTGAGAGAGAGCTGAGGGAGCTGGATGACTCAATATTTCTGATTTCAGACAAAAGGTTAGCATCTATATAGAGAACACCAGTTGAATCAGACACACTGAATTAAGACAATTTCTGAGATCTAAGTTTTCAAACATGACGTGTCAGGAAATTCTGCGACAGCTGGGATTCTTGTCCTAACAGAGGCAGGTCAAGGATGGATGAGTGCGGGAGAACAACAGTGTTACACATCAGTTCTGTGTGGATGAGACCTTATGGTGAAGCTAGCAATGAGGCATCAGAGAGGGAAAAAAGCTCCAATCAAGCTATGAGGTGGCTCAATAATGGAAGAAAAAAGGAAAAGTCCCTGCCAAAAAAAAGTACCGACTAGATTTCTAAGCTGCTGCGCTGTGCTCCTGGTCCCATGCATGCTGTGGCTGTGTGCATGCATGGGGCATTTATTGGCCACATTATCAGCTGCATCAGGCAAAAAAGGCCAATTTCCAATACTTTCAATTGTCCCTATATTGGTGCTGATCCGATATGGGACCGATGTATTGGTTGATGCACCTCTAGTATCAACTTTTCTTCTTCTCTCATTTACTGAAGTGTTAAGTATTCAGTAACATAGCTAAGGGAGGCAACCAGAGCAGCAGCCCCAGGTACTGGCTTTGTTGGGGGGAGTAAAGGGGGGTGCAAAAGGCTCTACTGTTGCAGTGATGGCTGACAGCACCACTGCAATTGGCATGGCTAGAGCTGACCCTGCCCTGGGTGGGGAGCTGCGTTGCTGTGCTACTGCAAATATGAGCACATATTCATCCAGTTTAAGGTCAGTGGAGACCATCAAATCGCTAAGTCTTCTTTCCTAAATATCACAGGCTGTCAAATTTTATCCAGTTACTACTGAATAGAACCTAATAACCTGGGTCTGACTAAAGCATATTATGTCCAGCTGACAAAACTCACGTCTGGGCCAGTGAATTCCAAGTCCAACTCCTATGCTACTATTTTGAACTAATACAAAGACTACAGAGTAGGGCTGTGCAAATTCTTGCCGGCTGTTTCGATTCAAGGCTGTTTCAACTCATTTCGAGCTCGAAACACCAAAATTGAATCAAAACAAAGGGCTTCAAAACAGCCTCAAAACAAAATGAGGCTAGTCAAAACATTTCTAAACATTTCAAGTTTCAAAGCAGCCAGCAGCCAGGTGGCGGGAGACAGGGGAAAACCAGGGCTGAGCTCCCAGCGGCTCTGCAGCCCCATGTGGTGCAGCCCTGGCTCTCCCCAACTCCTGCGGCCAGGCTACAGGAAGCCGACTGCAGCAGAGGGGAAGGGAACTGAGCCTGGGCTCAGGTCTCCTCCCCAGCGCTGCAAATCGGGCTGGGGAAAGGAACTCAGCCCAGCTGAACTGAGTTCCCCTCCCAGAGCTAGATCAGGCTGGGGAAAAGACCTCAGCCCAGCTGGGCTGAGTTCCTTTCCCCAAGCTGACTGTAGCACTAGGGAGGGGAACTGAGTGATCGGGCTCAGCTCCCTTCCCCAGCTCCCTGGTCCCAGGCAGCAGCACCCGGCTTCCCTCCATCATCTGGCAGGCATATCGGGGCCCACAGCCCCGGAAGAACTGGCACAGCCCCCGCAGACCTCCTGGGATTATGGGCCCCCATCTGCATGTCCGATGAGAGAGGCTGTTTCGAGCTTCCCCATTACAGTGAATGAGTGAAACTTTGAAACAGTGTCACTGTTACAACAAAGCAAAACAGAACAGCGGTTTTGAATCAGAATGAAATTTGAAACAAAACGCTGTTCCGTTGAAACCTCCAAATTCAAGTCGAAATGGAACAGTGCTGTTTTGCACAGCCCTACTACAGAGCAAGCAGTGGAGGAAGCTGTATGGTGAAATGGATCATCTTTCTAGTTGGATGTTCATTATCTTACACATTCTTATGGTATATTCTCAATGACAATAGGGAACAAACCCAATATTTTAACTATTTCCATTTAGGAGAGGGGTGTCCAACCTTTTTGAATGTGAGGCCAGATCATGAACTTTTTATCACCCAGTGGGCCGGTGAGCCATATTCAAAGACCTCACCCTCCCCCCACCCCAAAATGAAAGGAATGTTTACTTCCGTTTCCCATTGCAGCACCTCAGGCCTCAGAAAA